TGTTCAGATTACAAAGGTATGAAACTAGAAATAAATTACACAAAGGAAATGAAAAATCCCACAAACACATGGAGGCTTAATAACATGCTCCTAAATAATGAATTGACCAATGACCAAATAAAAACAGAGATCAAGCAATATACGGAGACAAATAACAACAATAATTCAACTCCACAAAATCTGTGGGACACAGGGAAAAGCCGTGCTAAGAGCAAAGTATATTGCAATACAGGCCTACCTCAGGAAAGAAGAATAATCCCAAATGAGCAGTCTAAACTCACAATTAATGAAACTAGAAAAGGAAGAACAAATGAGGTCCAAAGTCTATAGAAGGAGGAACATAATAACAATTAGAGCAGAAATAAATAAAATCGAGAAGAATAAAACAATAGAAAGAATCAACAAAAGCAGTAGCTGGTTCTCTGAGAAAATAAAATGGATAAACCCCTAGCCAGACTTATCAAGAAAGAAAGAGAGTCTACACACATAAACAGACTCAGAAATGAGAAAGGAAAAATCACTATGGACACCACAGCAATACAAAGAATTCAGAGAGAATACTATGGAAAATTATACGGAACAAACTGGATAAGCTAGAAGAAATGGACAACTTTCTAGAAAAATACAACCTTCCAAGGCTGACCCAGGAAGAAGCAGAAAATCTGAATAGACTAATTACCAGTAAAGAAATTGAATTGGTAATGAAAAATCTACCTAAGAACAAAATCCCTGAGCCAGATGGTTTCACTGCTGAATTTTATAAAACATTTAGTGAAGACCTAATACCCATCCTCCTTAAAGTTTTCCAAAATGTAGAAGAGGAGGGTATACTCCCAAACTCATTTTACAAGGCCAACATCACCCTAATACCAAAACCAGGCAAAGGCACCACAAGAAAAGAAAATTACAGACCAGTATCCCTGATGAACATAGATGCAAAAATACTCAACAAAATATTAGCAAACCATATTAAAAATATATCAAAAAGATCATCCATCATGATCAAGTGGGATTCATCCCAGGGATGCAAGGATGGTACAACATTCGAAAATCCATCATCATCATCCACTACATCAACAAAAAGAAGGACAAATACCACATGATCATCTCCACAGATGCTGAAAAAGTATTTGACAAAATTCAACATCCATTCATGATAAAAACTCTCAAAATGGGTATAGAGGGCAAGTACCTCAACATAATAAAGGCCATATATGACAAACTGACAGCCAACATTATACTTAACAACGAGAAGCTGAACAATTTTCCTTTAAGATAGGGAATAAGACAAGGATGCCCACTCTCCCCACTTTTCCTCAACATAGTTCTGGGGGCCCTAGCCACAGCAATCAGAGAACATAAAGAAATAAAAGGCATCCAGATCGGTAAGGAAGAACTCAAACTGTCCCTGTTTACAGATGACATAATATTGTACATAAAAAACCCTAAAGGATCCACTCCAAAACTACGAGATCTAATATCTGAATTTAGCAATGTTGCAGGATACAAAATTAATACACAGAAATCTGTTGCATTCCTACACACTAACAATCAACTAGCAGAGAGAGAAGTCAGGAAAACAATTTCATTCCCAATTGCATCAAGAGAATAATATACTTAGGAATAAACCTAACCAAGGAAGTGAAAAACCTATACTCTGAAATACTCTGAAAGCTACAAGACACTCATGAGAGAAATTTAAGAAGATATCAATAAATGGAAACACATCCCATGCTCATGGATAGGAAGAATTAATATTGTCAAAATTGCTATCCTACATAAAGGAATCTACAGATTCAATGCAATTCCTACCAAAATACCAACAGCATGCTTCAATGAACTAGAGAAAATAGTTCTAAAATTCATATGGAACCACACAAGGCCCCAAAAAGCCAAACCAGTCCTGATAAGGAAGAATAAAGTGGAGGAATTATGCTCCCTGACTTCAAAGCCACAGTAATCAAGACAATTTGGTACTGGCACAAGAACAGACACATAGACTAATGGAACAGACTAGAGAGCCCAGATGTAAACCCAAGCATATGTGGTCGATTAATATATGATAAAAGGAGCCATGCATATACAATGGGGGAAATGACAGCCTCTTCAAGAGCTGGTGTTTGCACAACTGGACAGTTATATGCAAGAGAATGAAACTGGATTATTGTCTAACCCAATACACAAAAGTAAACTCAAAATGGATCAAAGACCTGACTGTAAGCCATGAAACAATAAAACTCTTGAGAAGAAAACATAGGCAAAAATCTCTTGAATATAAACATGACCAACTTTTTCCTGAACACATCTCCTCGCTCAAGGGAAACAAAATAAAAAATGAACAAATGGGACTGCATCATGCTAAAAAGTTTCTGTACAGGAAAGGACACTATCAGAAGAACAAAAAGGCATCCTACAGTATGGGAGAGTATATTTGTAAATGACATATCTGACCAGGGGTTAACATCCAAAATACATAAAGAACTCATATGCCTCAACAACCAAAAAGCAAATAACCCTATTAAAAAATGGGCAGAGGATATGAACAATTCTCCAAAGAAGAAATTCAGATGGCCAACAGACACATGAAAAGATGCTCCACATCACTAGTCATCAGAGAAATTAAAATTAAAATCACAATGAGGTATCACCTCACACCAGTTAGGATGGCCAACATCCAAAAGACAAACAACAACAAATGTTGGCTAGGATGTCGAGAAAGGAGAACCCTCCTACACTGCTGGTGGGAATGTAAACTAGTTCAACCATTTTGGAAAGCAGTAGGAATGTTCTCAAAAAACTCAAAATAGAAATACCATTTGACCTAGGAATTCCACTCCTAGGAATTTACCCTAAGAATGCAGCAGCCCAGTTTGAAAAAGACATATGCCACCCCTATGTTTATCCCAGCACTATTTACAATAGCCATGAAATGGAAGCCACCTAAGTGTCCATCAGTAGATGAATAGATAAAGAAGATGTGGTACATATATACAATGGAATATTATTCAGTCATAAGAAGAAGACAATTCCTACCATTTGTAACAACATGGATGGAGCTAGATGGTATTATGCTCAGTGAAATAAGCCAGGTGGAGAAAGACAAGTATCAAATGATTTCACTCATATGTCGAGTATAACAACAAAGAAAAAACTGAATGAACAAAATTGCAGCAGAAACACAGAACCCAAGAATGGACTAACAGTTGCCAAAGGGAAAGGGACTGGGGATATGGGTGGGAAGGGAGGGAGAAGGAGAACAAGGAGCATTATGATTAGCACACATAATGTAGCAGGGGGTGCACTTGTAAGGCAGTGTAGCACAGAGAAGACAGGTAGTGATTCCATAGCATCTTACTACAGTGATGGACAGTGACTGTAACAGGGTATATGTTGGGGACTTGATAATGGGGAAATCTAGTAACTACAATGTTGCCCGTGCAATTGTATATTAATGAAACCAAAAAAAATAGAATGCCAATTTTCCCACCTCTTCTCCAATATAATTTATTTTCAAACTTTTTTCTTTGCGAATATGATAGAAAAATAATTTATCATTGCAATTATAATTTTCACTTGTTATCAGTGAGATGAAACATTTTCTCATATATTTAAGAAACATTGATTTGTCATTGATTTTTATGAACCATCTGTTCATATATTTGCCCATGTTTTCTATTGCATTGTTGGTCATTGATCTTTTCTTTATGAGTTTATGGAGGTTTTCTTTATATCAAGGAGCTTAGTAAGGCAAAGTTTTAAGCATAAATAGGAGACAGAAAAACAAATGACTATTATTAAATCCAAATTACTTGTAACCCTCAAAATATTCATTGTAATATGAGATATCAAGATACTCCATGTTTCATTCCAAATTTTATTTTGGAAAACCCTTTCTTCCTTCATCCACTGAAAAAATTGTATAGAAAGCGGACTGTGTGGCAGACTCTAGGATAAATGCTGAGGTTGCAGACCTCAAAGACAAAGACACACCTATAGATAGGCATTGATCAGCAGCCAACAGAAGGTGCCAGGGAATGCTCGAGACTCAGTGGCCCCTCACTACCTTCCAATGTGTGGTGCTGAGAATACAGTGATTAACAGACTAATAGGGGCCCTTCCTTCATGGAATTTATGGTCAAATTCAAATTCCCTCCTGCCATTGATTGCAAGAGAAAGTCAAAAAAATTATATATTCAGGAGGATGGAGCATATGCGTTAATTGGGCAGGATGTAGTGGTGAGAGAAAAGGAGGAGTCAGAAGAGCAGCTAGGATCTACCCTGAGGAGTGCGTGGGTAGCGTCCCTTTTCCTTAGGGAGGACAGTGTTAGGGGACCTAGAATGCGCCTTGTCTGGTGCCTGACATTTACTGAGCTGGGACCAACAGGCAGGGAGGATTGTACGACCCAGTACTTGATATTGATCAAGTCAGACCGGGGCAACCCAGAAGTCCCGCTTCCATCCTGCCCATTTCATGTAGAAAATTAAGTGCTTGGAGGGATGGATTGCAGGGGCCTCTCTCGTAGAAAGGCCGTATAATTTCAGAAATAGATTAGAATTTAACCTCCTCTGTGTCTGGATCCTCCCTGTCGCAATCCGCTTTCCCGACCTTCTTACCTCGGCTCCCTCCCCTAACCCGCGTACAGAGGTAGGCGCTAGTCTTTGGAGAGGTGACTGTGTAAACTGTATAAACACTTCTTTTTGGTGTCCATCCGCCTCGTTAAGCGGAAACTGACTCACAGGCGCCACCGCCAGAATTCCGTACACATTTCAGTTCAAAGAAAAGAAATGTAGGCTTGGTTGGCGGAACTCCAAAAGAAGCGGAACCAATGCGAGACCCTCTGATGTTAATCGGCTTCTCTACGTCCAGCGCTTTCTGTATATCTGGATGCCGCCCTAGCCCATTCCAATAACTGGAATAATCAGGGCGGAGCTACCTGACAGAGAGAGAAGTGACGCTATGCAAAGCTTGGTATCACTCCGCTCCAACAAGGCCGGATCCCCTTAAACTACACTCTAGCTCCTCCCGCTGTCGGTTTTGGTTCTGGGGACGTGGCATGGCAAAGCTTGCGGAGGAAAAGGTAGCTGTTAATTAGTCATTAGGAGCGGGTCCCTGAGAGCCCTGGGGACGGAAAGGAGAAGGGAATACAAAAAAATGACAGGTGTTTGCCAGTTACGACCCTTAATCTAATAAAGCAGGTATCTGATCCTAAACCTAGGTGCCGGGACAAATTCCCGAACATGGCGCCATTGTCTCGTGTCCTGTGTCCATCTGACTGTCCGCCCCTCTTTCTGTAGGGCATGGCACCCCTTGAGGCAAGGAAATGAGAAAACTGCCTTTGATCCAAGCAGAGCAGGTCAGTGAGAAGGCGGGCATTGCTTGGGAGTGTGGATATGGTTATCAGATGAACGTGGGTTTCGTGATCTGGTCGTGGGGCACGGGCGGTGAGAGGGAGAAAAGGATGGGGATGAATTGACTGGCACACAACGATAAATTTAAAATGATCTGACTCTTGCTAGCTTGATCTCCAGACACTCGCCCCACCTCCGACCACGTTTGGGAAGGGAAAGGAGTATAGTGGCGGCTTCTAGCGGAGAAATGGCGGATTGTAAATAGGAGGGGTTGCTGCAATCGGTGAGAACAGTTGACTGGGAATCCCTGGAAGGGAAAGAGTGTAAAAGAGGTTGAAAGTGTTTGATAATCAAGGCCCTGGATTAGAAACGGGTCTCGTGTTCTGGTTACTAGTTTGGCCATTAATAACCAATTTCATTTGGTCTTCATTTGGTCTTTGGTGTGTAACATGCGTTTATTTGTGCAGGTATGTTCCTAAGCTTGCGGTAGTACACGTTTCTGTAAAGATCTGTAGGGGGCAGCAGATCTCAAAGGGAGGAGGAAAAAAAATTAGCCTAATTTCTGTAGTTGGCAGTGCTTAGAGGTGGTCAATGACTAAAACTAGAGCAGGTAAGTGTCTAAAGGAATCCAGATCTTTCTGCCAGCTTTCAGGACAGTCCCCTTTTACTCCCTTGGTGTTGCAGAAAATGATCAGCTTTGAGGAGAGGAAAGAAACAAAAGAACTTGGATGAAATTTGGAAATGATACTTCTCATTGATTTCCCAGCCAACTTCTGTGGCTTTTCTGAGCATTTCATCCCTACTAACACCACCACTATCTTGCAGGGATGTTTGAATTGTCTCTGCAGGGGAATTGTAAGACTTTGGGAATGAAGCAGAAGAGGTTGGAAATTTGGGGGTAGTGGGAGAGGAAGAAAAGAAGATAGAAAATGTTGGCAAACTGGTACCTGTATCCAGAAAGGATCAGTGTTCTAGTTGCTGATCTCTACCAAGGACTCAGTCTCCATTGTCTCCCGTGTCTCTATTTATTTATATCTGCGTTTGTGTATCTATATGTGTAGATCTATCCCTAGGTCTGTGGAACTCTCAGTTGTTGTGAAGGTTCATAAATGGTAACCCAACTTGAAGCTAGGAAATAATAAAGAAGAGAAAAGTTCCCTGTATGTATTTAAGATTGGTGTGAAGATAGAGGGATGGGAGATGATTAATTCTAGAGAATTCTCATTATTTTGTTTTACCAGTTTACTAACCCCTGTGTGGTTCCCTGCTGATTTAGTTGGGAGTGTTTGTAAGCTTTGGGGGTATGAAAGGGTAACACATGCTTTTCTCATTCCCCACTTGCTTTTCCTATTCTTACACTTCACCCTAGCTAATTCTGAACTAGGGAAATGCCAGCACAGTCACTGAAGAAGAAAGTGGTGGGCAACAGGGAGAAGGAGGAACAGCCCTGAAGCAAGGCAATGGGAAGAAGGGACCAAAAGGAGGGAAACGCTAGACAAACTACAAATATAGGGACCAGGGACCAAGGTCTATTTACCTAGAGATTAGTTTCCATATCAGTCTGTTTATTTATCTGTCCATAGATTATTTGCCTATAGATCTCTTGTAGGGCTTGTCATCATTGGAAAGGAGGAGAAAATTGCTCCAGATCAGGGCAGGTTGGTTTGAGTGTGGAGACTTCCCAGTAGACCTGTAGGATAAGGTAGAAACCTACTTGGGTCCAGCAGGAATAAATAGCCAGTTTAGGGATTCCTGTTTGTCTCACTCCCACCCATCTTTCCCACTCCCCAAATTCCTGTTTCATGTCTGTAAAGATTAGTAGCACCTGCAGTTTTAGGGAACATGAAGTGAAGGCAGAGCGAGTTTGCTAATTATCTACCTCTTCCACTTAGCACTGAATTTCCATACTGTCCTGTCTTTCTGTGCTAATCAACATGAGGAAAAAAATTGGAAGAGACTCAAAGCCCCATTTCCTTCCTCCACCCTTAGGTCCAACAGTGGCAGATCTGGTGGCCTTGGAGTGGCTGAAGACCACCACCCTCCACAGGGCTGAACTCAGGCACACAGCCATCCTTCCCTTCCCTGAGTGAGCTTCCTCTGCACGTTGTTTATATCATTGGCAGAGCCTATAGTTGGAAAGGGGGGCTGAGTAACTACTGGACTTTGTATGAAAACACCAACCTGGGACAGACCTTCAGTCAAGGCTGAGACGGGGGTGGGGATACATAATGTGGTCTTGCCTTTAACTTGGATCATAACTGGCTCCAAGGTTAAGGCAGGGGCAGAGAAGGGTCTGGGGCTGGTCTGAAATCTTGAATCAGTGGCTCTGCCAACACTAGAGCCAAGGATAAGGTCCAGGCCAAGGCAGAACTCAAAACAGGACCAGTGACCCATGCCAAGGCTGGGGATGGAGCAGTGGCCAGGACACAGTGACCTTCACTGAGACCATGGCTATGACAAGGGAAGTGAGCAAGATGGAAGCTATGACTGAGACTAGAGTCATGACTGAGACTAAGGCAAAACCCCTGGAAGAACCTGGTATAATGCCCCAAACCAAGTTAAAGGCCATGCCTATGTCCAGAGTCAGTGCTGTGACCAAGTATGAAGTCAAGGCTGTTGCTGGGAGTGAAGTCAATATTGAGTCCTTTGCCAAGGCTGATGATAAGGCTAATATTGGGTCCAGGTCCCAGAGAAGGAGAGAGGCCAGCATCAAGTTCAGGGCTGGGGACAGAGCTGGTATTGTAATCAAGTCCAGTTATGAGGATGAAGAAAATGTCTGCTCTTGGTTCTGGACTGGAGAGGAGCCTAGCATAGGATCGTGGTTCTGGCCTGAAGAAGAGACCCCTTTTCAAGTTTATAAGCCTCCACCTAAGATCCAGGAAACACCCAAGTCCACACCCAAACCTGAACTTACTATAAAACAAAAAGCAGCAGCATGGTCAAGGGCCAGGTATAGTGTCCTAGTCCCAGTAGAGGGAGGGGAGCGATCCTTGCCTCCAGAAGGGAATTGGACTCTGGTTGAGACCTTGATTGAGACTCCTCTGGGGATTCGGCCACTGACCAAGATCCCACCCTATGATGGGCCTTACTTCCAGACCTTAGCTGAGATCAAAAAACAGGTTAGGTATAGGGAAAAGTACGGGCCTAATCCAAGAGCCTGCCGCTGCAAATCACGTGACTTTAGTTTAGAGCCTAAAGAGTTTGATGAACTTGTTGCCCTACTTAAACTAACTAGGGATCCTTTCATACATGAAATAGCTACAATGATAATGGGCATCAGTCCTGCTTATCCATTCACCCAAGATATAATTCATGATGTAGGTATTACTGTTATGATTGAAAACTTGGTCAATAATCCCAATGTTACGGAACACCCTAGAGCTTTAAATGTGGATGACAACTCTGAGTCTCCTGAAGAACCAAAAACAGGAGAGTCATACATACATCAAGTTTGTAAGGACATAATTTCTTATCCCTTGAACTCCCCTGTGCAACTGGCTGGACTAAAATTACTAGAGCACCTGAGTGTGAAATTTGAGGATCACCATATGATTGCTAATTACATTCCAGATTTCCTAACCTTGTTGAACAAGGGAAGTGTCAAAACCAAGTTTTATGTTTTAAAAGTGTTTTTGCGCTTGTCTAAAAATCAAGCCAATACAAGAGAACTGATCAGTGCCAAAGTACTATCATCATTGGTTGCACCCTTTAGCAAGAATGAATCAAAGGCCAATATTCTTAATATCATTGAAATATTTGAAAATATAAATTTCCAATTCAAAAAGAAGGTGAAGCTATTTACCAAGGAACAGTTCACTAAATCTGAACTTATTTCCATATTCCAGGAAGCAAAAGAGTTTGGTCAGAAACTCCAAGACTTAGCAGAGCACAGTGATCCTGAGGTGAGAGATAAAGTTGTACGATTAATACTCAAACTCTGAATAGCTGTGTGTTCTCACAAGTCCATGAAAAATTTTTGGTGTAATATGAAACTGATTCATAGTATAAGTTCAATATTTATGTTATCTGTTGACTGAAGGAGGTAATTTTATGGATAGCAAATGACCTGGAGAGCTTGAATATTTGTTGATTTTTTATTGTGCTATATAAATTGAGATATTTTTAATATTTCTGCAACATGACCTGATAATCTATTCATCTATCTATTCATCATGAGTACGCTATACTTCTGTGATTTATATTAACATAAATGTATTCATTTGAGATTTTACTTACATGTTAATAAAGTTGCATGCTACAACTGGTGAAAATGTTGTCCTAGTTCTTTAGTTGAACTATAGACAGAGGGATAAAGCACAAATAACACAAAGATGATAAAGAGCACTCTGTCTGTGGGAGGGGTACAGCTAAAACAAGTTCACATTAACAGATCCTTTAGTTTCAACATGTTCAAGGAGTAGAATCACTCTATACACAAGAAGAGAACACTGAGCTGACATCTGGGAAGATCTGGGTAAAGGAGTAAGGACATAGACTTAGGAGAAAGGGAAAACAGATGCTTTCATTCCAGTCTGAGTCCCAGAACTTGTGCTCAGCCTTTCACATGGCATATCTCATCAGGATACTTTGAAGTTTTTAATCCCCAAAAGGATTTCTGGTTCTCACCCCTGTGCAGCAAAGCCATGGAAGTGTGGTTCTGAAAGGACCCAGCCTGTGCCTTCAACATCCAGGTACTCCATTCAGAGTTACCAGGTTTATTTCTTCATCTAAGGCTCCCATTTCCTGTAGCCCTGGGCCTCAGAGGAGGGTCTTTCTGGGGACCCACTACAAAAACTTAAATGGATAGTCTTATTTGTTCCATCTTGGTGGTTGTTTACTTTCATCCTTGCTTTAGCTTGCTGGCCAATGCTTTGGACTTAGTGATTTGCATCTATCCTTGGTGGTAACCCCTTGTTTATGCTGATCTCTTTTGGTAGAGCTAAGCTCTATGAGACAGTCACAGGATACCAAAGTGCTTTTGGAGTATGTAGTTAAGAAGAAATTAATTCCCCTAGTCCCACTGTGCTATCTGTACAGCTTATAGAGCTGAAGCCATGTTGTCTGTACTGCTTTAGCTTCCCCTGTTTACTTAACAAAAGCTAGGTTCTGGCTGGTGTTTGTGGCATAGAATGCCAGAGTATAGATTGGGATCTGGGGTCACCTCTGCCTCCTTTGTTGTTATTGTCCTTTTCCTTTACTACCTAGAATTGGGAAATATAGATATTAGGGTCAGTGTACAAATACTGATCTTTCTTTTGAACTTCCTCTCTCCCTTTTTATGTATTTGGGGGAAGGCCTAAATTGAAAAATCTCAACAGGGTGTCATGTGCCCCTAGTTTTAGCAGCTGTCCTTAGTTTAATTTCTATTGAGGTCAGATTTGAACTTATCTTTCACACATCTAGGAGTTAAAATGAAGGACAAATGCCCACATTTGTGCATTAAGAGTGAAAAATTAAGCAGGTAGGCTTTTTGCACCATGCAGTTTCAACTCAGATGATTTTTGAAGTTCTTTATAACATTTTTTTAATCCGCAGAACTCCCATAGCCTGGAATTCCAGCTATGGGTACTGCTTTCACAGTTGGGGATCTTCACAGTACAGTTGGACCAGACCCTTTGGAAATATTCTGTTTCTCAAATGTCCTATGGAGCACACACTTAATCAGTTGATTGCTATGGAATTTCCCATCAGCTAAAGAAAAGGGTGAGTGTGGGGAATATAGGTATTTGTGTCAAAGTAAGAAGCTGATGTTCTCTTCTTGGGTGGGAATTTTGGGAGACAGAGTCATTTCCCGAATTGTTCCTAGGGTGTGTTTGATGTTGAAACCCCATTGCTCTTCTCTTGTTTCATCTCCTTTCCTAGAAAAATGATTCAGGCAAGACTAGGTAGTATCAGGACTTATACAGTATTACCTGTCGTAAAATATTGCTACCTGGGGGTAAAAATGAGTGCAAATTTCTTATCTTCCCTGTCATAAAGTAAAGCATGTAATCTTCCTACAGCACAGCTGGCTGTTTGTACCCACGGGACTTCTACCATGCCCTCAACTTTACAAGAGGAACTTTGGTTGGGAAGGCATTTATAAAATATCACCAAATTCCCTAGCAAGGTTTTCAAGGCTCTATGTCCTTCAGCACCTTTCCATTTTTCCCATTATATCCCATGTGACCTACATTCAAACCACACTGGACTATTTGTTTCCTATTTTATGCACTTCCATACCTCTGTGCATTTCCTCGTGCTTTTCACTCATCCTGCAATGCTTTTACAACCCTTTCCCTGCCTGTGGTAAAACCATTCTTTCTTTTAGGCTCAGCTCAAATGCCATGTCATTTTGAAGTCTCTGACACCCTTATCCTCCCTGTCCCTGTGTTGGAATTAATAGCTCCTTCGGCATTTCCATTGTTTTTTATTTGTTCCTCTGTTTTAGCATTTGTCTTTATACCATGCCTTGGAGACTTAGTATGTTGGAACTTGTGTTTAAGGACAGTTAGCATAGAGAAGAAGCTTGGGCTTTGAGAGCGTCTGACTCCAAAGCCTGAACTTTTTATTCTGTATAATAATAACAATTATTAACATTTATACATTCATTAAGGCCTTACTATGGGCCAGATACCATTCTGTGTGCTTTACTTGTATTAACTCACTTAATTCCTAAAACGTCCATGAGGAGTGGGTACTGTTACCCACTGTACATTTCAGAAAGCTGAGATACTGATTGGTTAAATAACTTTGTCAAGCTAATTGAGTTGGTTAGTAACAGAGCTTAGACTCAAACATTTGCAGTCTGAATCTTTAGCTAGCATATATAATCACTTTGTAACTGTATCCCCACACAGCTCCTAGTACATTGGCCATCCCAAACTTAAATATGAGTGTTGTTAGACACACCTGTCCCTTATCTCTTAAGATTTTTCCCTTTCTGTAACCTATCTCTTGCATTATTTTCATTTCCTATGCAACTAAGCATTCGTGGCCCATCACTTTTAACATGTTGGTTTTTTAAAATTAAGATATTATTGACATACCCTCTTATGAATGTTTCTCATGCAAAAACAATGTGGTTATTACATTTACCCATATTATCATGTCCCCCCATATCCCACTGCAGCATCCTGGCTGCTATGAAGCCTCTATGCTTTGCATTTGTAGCTGCTGTAGGTGGGGCTTCCCTCTGGCTGGCCTGATGCCAGGGCAGGGGTTGCCAGTTTGCCAGCCAGTTGTGGGCTGGCCAGGAGGTAGGCACAGCAGGCTGCAGTAAGCTCTGTGCAATCCTTGCCCCTTTAGCAGCCCTCTCACTGTTAGGAAGTCTCTCAGACTGCCCACGCAGAGCAGCTGGATATGGATCCCTGTTTTCCACAAGTAGCTGGAATCTCAGTCTCTCCAGGTATTCTACCTGTCTTAGCTTTCCAACCCCACTAATCACCAGAGCACCATGCAAGGTAGGTTCGTGCTCCCAGAGCAGATCTCTAGGGCTAGGTGTTCAGCAGTCCCAGGCCTCCACTTCCTCTCTACTCTTGTTTCTCTTCCTCCTGCCTGTGAGCTGGTGCGGGGGAAGGGCTTGGGTCCTGTGGGGTCATGGCTTTAGTACTTTACCCTGTTCCATGAGGTATGTTCTTTTCTCCAGGTGTATGCAGTCTGGTGCAGCCTTCTTTCCTGTTGCTCTTTCAGGATTAGTTGTATTAATTATATTTTCATACTGTATGTCATTTTAGGAGGGGGTCTCTGTCTCACCTCTCACGCTGCCATCTTTTCATTCACCAACTTTTAATGTTTTTAAGTATTTTGTTACTGTGGTAAAATACGTAACAAGAAGTTATCATTTTAATGATTTTTAAATGTAGAATTTAGTAACATTAATTGCATTCACAGTGTTGTGCAGCCATCACTACTATTTACAAAACTTTTTCATCACCCAAAGGAGAAACTGTAACCATTAAGCAATAATTCCCCATTAACCACTTCTTGTCAGTCCATAGTAATCCCCAGTCTACTTTCTGTCTCTACAAATATGCCTACTCTAAATATTTCTTATTAGTGGAATCATGCAATATTTGTCCTTTTGTGTCTGATTTATTTCACTTACCATAGTGTTTTCAAAGTTCATCTGTGTTGTGACATGTATCATAGCTTATTCCTTTTTTATGGCTGAGTAATATTCTGGTCTGTGTGAATACACCATATTTTGTTTACCCTTTCATCTATTGGTGTACATTTGAGTTGTTTCCACCTTTGGCTTTTATGAACAATACCACAATGAACACTGGTACACAAATACCTGTTTGAGTCCCTGTTTTCAATTTTTTTCATTATATACTTAGAAGTAGAATTGCTGGCCCATATGGTGATTCTATGTTTAGCTTTTTAAAGAACTGCAAAGCTATTTTCTTTCTTTTTTTTTTATTAAGGTATCATTGATATACACTCTTACGAAGGTTTCACAAGAAAAACAGTGTGGTTATTACATTCACCCTTATTTTCAAGTCCCTCCCCATACCCCACTGCAGTCATGCCAAGCTATTTTCATTAGATACACCATTTTACATTCCCACCAACAACATACAAAGTTTCCAATTTATACACATCCTTGCCAACACTTGTTGTACTTGTTATTTACCATTTTTAATAACTCTACTCATCAATGTGAAGTAGTATCTCATTATGGTATTGATTTCCATTTCTCTAATGACTAATGGTGTTAGCATTTTTTCATGTGCTTATTGGCTGTTTGCATATCTTTTTGGAGTAATGTCTGTTCAAGTTCTTTCCCCATTTTTCAGTTGTATTGTTTGTCTATTTGTTGCTACATTGTAGAAGTTCTTTATATATTCTGGATAAACGTCCCTTAGCAGTTATATGATTTGCAAATATTTTCTCCTATAGGGTTTTTTTAATGTTAATG